ATGCCTTTAAATTTAGAAAATATTGCAGGCGTGTTGCGATATTCATGGAAGAAATGTCAGGTTAAGTTGGAATGGGCCATCTCTCCTGTAAAAGATACGTGGTAGCTCCAACGCCAGGTATATATACACGGTGACGGATAATTTTTCATGTACATGGCGCTGAGACGCTACCGCGTCTCTAGATACTTGTTCTCGGTTTAAGCAATTATTGTTAATAATTAATGTAACTATTGTCAGAAATGAATAGTTAGTTGGTGCATTCAATAGATATTAAAATATAGAAAAATTTCTCACGATTACTTATTTAAATTTTATTCTCAACTTTTCATGTCGGAAATATTACATTCTCGAAAAATATTGACGTATTAATCTGAAACTTTAAAATGCATTAAACATGTACATCTCCGAATTAATTGAATATTTACAATGCACATAGTAACATTAAGTTTTCGATTAACTATTAATAACAACCGTTCTTCACAATAAGTATTCATCTAACAAAGCAATCGTGAGAAACTTTTCTATATCATTATATCTGTTATAATTTTTTTTATCATACAATTTGTTAATTTAAAAAATATATATTGATAAATATGATTTATCAACTTTATTTGGATATAGAGGAATTACTTTTGGATTCGGGTTTCCGAGACACTGGCTAATAAGTTATTAAGAATCACACAATTCTTTGGCTATTACCAATTTTTATCAATTTAAAATTATTATTTTATTATTTATTTAATGATTGCGTTCACCACAATAAAAAAGAAATTCGAGTTTATGTATACTATAAAAATGACATATAGTCGTTACAGGGAAGTACATGGGCAAGTGAATTGCTGCTCTACAACCAAAATATAAATTTACCGCTATTTTACACCGTTCGAGTTGTACAAATGCGTAGAAATGAGACTTCTTCAAATTTTAAATGGACGAAAGTATTTTTTCCGCGTCTTCGTGGCGCCATGTAGTAATAAAAGGAAATCAGAGGAACTGTGTGAATTTTCGAAGGTCGACATTCTTCGAGGAAGTCAGTATCTTATTCACCACGTCGAGGATGAAACCCCACCTCGACTGTCTCTCAGATGATTGACATGTTTATGAGCATAAGGATCCATTCGCTTTGCCCTGTATCTCCAACGTGGCAGTATCCTCTTTCGTAAAGAATCTTGTGTTCGTTCTCTTTCGCGCCATTAAGTACATACTCCTTAACGAAGCTCTTACTCCGGGTCCACACTGCGCGAATACTGGTTCGCGTACATCGTTCGTGAATGTTTTCGCCGTAGTGTGGATGGGAAGTAGCAGAGTTCGCTAACAAATGACCCTCCTACTAGGCGTAAAGTCGTAAAAGTAGCCCCGCTGGGTTAGGCGAAAACTGTGTTCGCGAACCAAATTCAGCGATCCACGAGGTGGTGGATCCGGCGAACACGTTCGGGAAAAACATCGCCTTTTTCCTCGTTCTTGTCCCTTTTCAAACCCTCGGAGCTTGGGCATTGCTATTCTTTCCAACTGTGGGTCTGGTCTTTATGACCACCCGCAGGTAGGTACATACTCCAAAGGGATAATCTGCGTGACCGAAGTTAACATTATTTCCTTATTACTCATCCAAGTTTGTATATTTTTTGTTGTATCTTGATGAAAGTATATGCAATATATTGGCGAGATTTTCCTGATAAAAATGGCACCAAACACAATGCAATTCAGACAACTTTAAATTTCGTTTACAATTTGCAATATTTTTATAATATTAATACTTGATTTTATGAGCCAGTAACCGATTAGAAAGTCTCTTCGAAAATAGGAAACAGATTGTAAAATTCTTGCCAGGAGATAATTAGGGCCTATGAAAAAACTAGGTAATTTTTGTAGCTATGCGAACCTGATACCCGACTTTTCAAAAATTCATTTTTTTTTATGGAAAACAATAGCATTTCGTTTGTACTTGATTGTACCATCAATAGTTTCGTTTGTACCTTCATCAATTAATAAATAAAAAAAATAAAAGAAATGACAAGCACCCGATATTGAGATTTTTTAAATCTGTTTTTTCCCTATTCTTTAGAATCGTTTGTACCCGTTTGTATCGCTTTTCGTTTCGTTTGTACCTCAGTAGTTTATGATTTATAAGCAATTCTTTATACGCGTAAGGGGAGAGAGTTCGTCACTCATCAATTCTGGGTATTTCTGAAGAACTCATTTTGAAGTGGAAACGTAAGGGAATGAGACCGCATTGTTTTCAAAATTAAAGTTACAGGCACAGAGGAAGAACAGATTAAAAAAATTTTGAAAATTAATTTACTCCTTTCTTACGCGTACAACAATTGACTGTAAAACATAAACTAGTGAAGTATAAACGAAGTGAAAAAACAGATTTCAAAAATCTCAATGTCGGATCCTGGGTGATTTTTTTTTTTACTTTTTTTTTTATTTATTAATTGATGAAGGTACAAACGAAACTATTAATGGTTCAATCAAGTACAAACGAAATGCTACTATTTTCCATAAACAAATGAATTTTTGAAAAGTCGGGTATCAGATTCACATAGCAAACTTTTTTAAGACGTGAAGCTGACAAGAGACGTAAAATGGTATTTTAAAAAATATTAATAGGCAAGCATACTGTCATAAAATGGTCAACGAACATTGCTTGAACAATAGTATGTGTAATACATATAAGCTGTAACAAAATCTATTACTTATTATAAGCGAAACTCAAAATTGTCTGAATTGCGTCGTGTTTGATATCATTTTTATCAAAAAAATCTCGCCAATATATTGCATATATTTTCATCAAGATACAACAAAAAAAGCATAAAAAGTTGGATGAATATTAAGGAATTAATATTAACTACGGTCACGCATATTATCCCTTTGGAGTATCTGCCGGCGGGTGGTCGTAAACGGTCGTTTGCTTTCGAGCATTTCCAACCATGGAGGGAATGCGGATCGCCCGAATCCACAAAATAATATTAGTTTCACATGAGTACGAACATCGTAGATGTTCGCCGGCATGTTAGCGACAGTAACAACACTCTTGCGAATGTTTTTAGGGTATGTTCTTGTTTCGTGTTCGCGCAGTGTGAACCCGGGGTTAGGATTCTTTAGAAGGTTTCTATTATTGAATTTAAGGACGTTCCTTTTTCATAATCATGGACTAACAAAATGTCCAGTATACAGGGTGCGACGTTTAAAACAGGTCACCTTAGCAATGTCTTTACTTTTAGCGATAGAAAATAAGTGTCGTAGAAGAGGTACTAGATTTCAAGGGACATGTAACGTGGTGCAATAACTTTTTTAACGTTGAATGCGTAGAGAAGATATAAAGGTCGACACTGTTTCTTTTTTAAATAAAATTATATAGTTTTTTATACACATTTTGATAGAGCATTTCAAGAGAAATGCAATGGATTATTTTTCATCTCTAACAACAATTTATCGAAGAAAAGATTTTACTCAACCCGAACAAAAATACACCACAGATAATTACCTGTTGAATTTTGGATTCAATTGAAAGTTGATAGACATTTGGATTTCTTCTTTTTACATTTTGTTCAGTCATTTCAAACATTGTATGACGGACCATACAGTTTTAAGTTATGTGGTTAATTTCTGCTTGCTTCAATTTTAGGCAACAACAAATCCCTACGAAATTTTTAAAGGTCTTTTAGATTTCATACCGTCGAACAGATTCAAAAAGTACTGAAACTGCATTAATGCCATTAGTGGCATTGCTATTATTTCGAAACTCATAAAACATTAAATGTTTAATATAGAACTTGTCCACACCTCCTATCGGGATGTCAAATTTGTATTCAAAATTTAACAATACGCACATTAAATATCAATATATTTAACTGGAATATAGCTTATGTTATATTTAGTTAGATTAGTGCCAGTACATGACAATGTTTTTTTCAATTTAAAAAGATTACTCCTAATATACAGGGTGTCTATATATAAGTTCGGACATACGCAGGGTGTCCATTCTACAACAAATTTTCAAAGTAAAAATTACTCTTAGACATTTTCTTTGTGTCGCCTTATTCTCGAGTATTTTCACTTTTAATTTTTGTTCTGTGTTTTTGACTTCACGCTCTTTACACGACCATAACTTCACCAAATTACAGTGTAAACTTTAAACTAAGTATACCATTCGAAAGAGAGTTGAATTTCCCATCTCCATGATGCAAAATCAAAATTTATTACGTAGGTTTAACAAGTGAAAAATTAGGTCAAACTTTACATTGTGACAATTTCAAAAAATTTGACTTTTTCTGTATTCGTCTTTCGGTTTTAAAAACATAGTTATTTGGCAGGCATTTCTCGGGAAAAACTTCCTCGAAGTCTCAGCTTTTGAACGGTATTATAAAAAAAAATTGTACGTTGGTATTTTATGGAGAAAATGACGTTTGAATGCAGAAAAGCGGACGTTTTTAGGTGAAAATCGACATTTTTCAACAAAAATCGACTTGTCACTTTAAAATTAGCTTGACATCGGGTTTGATGTATTTTTTGGTGACACTCCCGAGTCTCCCCAATTACGAAAGAATTCAAAAACAATTATTATTCACCTCTCACTCAGGCTCTACACGCGGTTGAGAGAGGTTTGAGGTGTAAAGAAACCAGTTTTTTTTCTTATAATAGAGTAATAGAGGAGATCTAGAGGCCAATTTCATATTTTAATTGATTTTAATTGATTTAATTGATTGTCATCGATGGTTAAACATTCGTAAGCTGCACGTAAAATGCGTACACTGGATGTTCTGGTCTATACGTTTCGCAATCTCGCACGTAAAATTTTTTTACCGCAGTGCATTGCGGTCGTTGACGTTATCCAACAATCAAGAAGGGATTGTGTTTCATTGAGTTCCATTTTCTCGTGTGCGTTCTGCGTTTCTTTGTTCCACTTCCGTATCCAAGCGGAAGTGAATCAATGAGACCACAATAGAGACAGAGAGCACAAAGATTTCTTATTCGAAACGCGTCTTGTGTATATGAGCACATACGAATCAAAAGCTTCCAATTGCGTGAATAATCGAAGTCATAGCACATTGGCCAGTCTTTTCCGAAGTAGACGGCATGACCACTAAGGGGGGGGGGGGGGGGGTAATCTTAGAATCCAAAGGCGGGATAATAAAAGTTTTGTAACGTAGACAAATGTGAAAATCAGGTAGCATTACGAGCAATTAACCTTACTGAAATATTCATATATAATAAACACAAAAGATGTGATAATTTTGTTTAAGCAAACCTTAATTGAAAGCAAATAAGATAACATAATCATGGATCATAAAAACGAAACATAAATTATGTACAATTGTACACATACATAATTAACCCTTTCGGTGCGAGCACTCATTCCGCCGTGACACTCCCGTTGTACGAGATACAGCGCGGCAAAATATGCATGTAATTATATAAGTAACATATATAATGTTACTTAGATGGGTGGCAGATTAATCAGCTCTGTGACCTTGGCACCCGACTTTTCAAAAATTAATTTTTTTTATAGAAAACGATAATATTTCGTTAGTACCTGATTGTACCTCCAATAGTTTCGTTTGTACCTCGACCAATTAATAATTAAAAAAAATTCAAAAAATGGTCAGCACACGACATCGAGATTTTTGAAATCAGTTTTTCCCGATTCTTTAGAATTGTTTGTACCCGTTTATACCGCTTTCCGTTTCGTCTGTACCTCAATAGTTTTAATTTTACAAGCAATTGTTGATCCGCGTAAGACTGAAGTTCGTTAATTTTCAAGATATTTAAAATCTGGTTTTTCCCGATTCTTTAGAATCGTTTGTACCAGTTTGTACCGCCTTTCGTTTCGTTTGTACCTTAATAGTTTAAATTTTATAATTCAACCGTATCAACAATTGCTTGTAAAATTTAAACTATTGAGGTACAAACGAAGAGAAAAGCGATTCCGGCGGGTACAAACGATTCTCAAAAATCGGGGAAAACCGATTTCAAAAATCTCGATGTCGGGTGCTGACCATTTTTTGAATTTTTTTTTAATTATTAATTGATGGAGGTACAAACGAAACTATTGGAGGTACAATCAGGTACTAACGAAATACTATCATTTTCTATAAAAAAAAATTAATTTTTGAAAAGTCGGGTGCCAAGTTCACATAGCTAGATTATTCGGCGCTCGTATCGAAAAGGTTAATGAAGGAATACAAATTACTAGCTTTCTACGAAATTTAAAATTACTAGTACAAACGAAGAAAACTTCGATAAATTTCGTGAAAATTTAGAATATTTACTTTTTTTTTACACTTCTGTTTGGAAATCACAAGTAACAAACCTGACAAAATTGATCGATCGATTTTTGATTGCGTGGACCTTTTTCTTATTTACCTATAAATAAAACATAAAAATAGCTTGACCATGTTCCTTAAGTGAGAGTAAGGCAGAAGGTTAGGCTACGTTTATATTTGATTTATGTGTAATATTTTAGGGCGACGCAATCAAGTGGTAGAATCATTGATTGTTGAATGAATTAAATATCATTCGGTTGTAACTCGTAATTTTCAAGTAAAGAATTTTACAAATTACTTGTACATTATTTTGTATACTTATCAGAGCAAAACAAGGTTTATAACCAGATTGCATGACTTTTTCTTACTCGTTTCCAGAGTCTCTCGGTAGCAGTGCAGTAGTCACGAAACCCAAGAGAAGAGCGCCTTTATTGAAGAGAAAAGCTCTCACAACAGGGTTCTTCGATAACAAAGGAAAAGACGACAAGGAAAAGGGTAAGTGAGAAATGGATTGCTGGAAAAGTGATTTTCACGAACAATTATTATTCATTTGAAATTAATAGTAAATATTCTTTGGTATCATGACAAATCAAAACATAAAATTATAATAGCAAAATGAGCATGGTTTAAATTTAGCTTTATTAATGTATTGATTGTTCTTGTGTTTCGATTCTCGTCAGTAATGTATATATTGCACTCCAGTACAATATACAGTATCCCTGGCTTAATAGCATACACATCAATTATTTCCTAAACGATTAAATATATAAAAAAAAATGTTTTTGACAAATATTGCATGAGATTATGAGATACACATGGTGATAATAATTATTTGACCTTGAGATAGCTTGAAAAAATTTTGAAAAGTTCACACTTAATTTTTTAAATTGAATCCTACATTATTTGTTGTATATTCTTGTAGCAGACGTTAAAACATTTAGAAAACACTATCTACACACACCTAAATGTTTTGCCTAAAACGTTTGTTTATATTTTTCTTTGTTAGGGAAATAATTGCTGCGTATACTATTGAACCAAGCATACTAAATATATACACTTTATTTTTTTTTTCTATGTTTCTATATCATGAATACACATTAAATAAACTAAATTTACGTGTTACTTGTTTTGCTAATTTTATCATTTCTAGTTATCCTTTAAGAGTAGTTGGCATTAGAGTTGCTCAAATTAAATTCCTCCAGGCACCTGAGAATTATACTATTATAAAGTATAATACACTAATAGAGAATTTATTTCATTCTTGTAAGTCGATCAATTAAAATTGAAAAAAAAGAAAATCCTTCGAAGATTGACTGTTAATGCGATTTTCGAGTTCCTCGTTGAAACTTCAAACAGTCTGCTGTAATAAAAATTCACTCGATAGAATCAATAATTAAATGCGGTAAATTAAGTGCGTAGTTTAATGTGCGGAAAGCGGCACGGTTAACGATCGTGGATTTATGGGTCGATTATTTGTTTGGAGAATAACTAGTTCAGCTATTTTCAGGTGCGATTCTGTTTGCTGAAGTTCGGTTGGAGTGTTCTATCATTTTATACGTTTACGACATCGCTGCGTGTATGTATTTTGATCTAGTAGAACCTGCAAGAAAGACAAATATTATGGTTGGGACAAATCTCGATGTTGTTCTGCTTCTGTTTTCTCATTTTGAATTCCGCGATCGATAATTACGTAAATCGAGAGCAAAAATTTCTATTTGCACACGACCAAAGCGAAATTCCTATTGCGACGGGTTATTATCGTATGCTCGCAAGCAAAAAAAGATTTTTTTAAGAAATTTTTATTTCAAATAACAAATATCTGTGGAACGTCACGGGCTTTATACATAATAATAGACACGTTAAATTAATAAATAAAATATTTGTTGTTTATTATTAATGATTTTTTTTTTTACGTATTTTATTAATTTATAACACATTTGTCATAAATTTCACATTGATTTCCTATTCGCATGACTCCCGATGTTACGTCATATGTATATCGTGTACACGTGAGCACGTGTATTTAAATTCACATGACAAAACGAAGAGTAAACCATTCTTTATGTAATTTATTTATTTTTACATAATTATCACTAAGCAATTGCAATTTTTAAATATTTTTAAAATAAGTTATCATACTTTCCAGAATTTCAAACATTGAAACATATTATTCCGTCACAGTTATCCTTCGAAGAAAAGACATTGTCCTTTAAGGTTGAATGCAATTTTCTCCGTAAATAGGAACAAAACAAGACTGTAAAGAATGACTATGAAGTAATCAATTTCATGCTGCAGGGCACAATAGGTTTCTGTAACAAAAGAAATACCTACTGAATATGTACGGCTAAGAAAGGAACAGTTACTTGGATAAAATAATTTTTGTAACAAAAAATATAACCCACTTCGAAAAATATTAAAACTCCACTAAAAAGTACGACATAATTTCTAGTTAATTTATATGAATACTTACTAGCTCTAGATATAATTGCTTAAAACTATGACAAAATGTATTGAAAAGTATGAAATAATTTCTATTTAAATTCCATTATTGCTCACCAGCTCTTGACGAATTTCATTAAATTCTTAAATACAGCATATTAAATATAATGCAACGTTTACGGAGGCGGCGCAGAGTTTAAAATTTTTGATTCTGACTTGAGTTAATTTTTGGTGAAGATGGCAATATTGAATTCGGTTAATGTATAAATGTATACTGTCGGAAATACTGTCTGAGTAGGTTTGAGGTATTTTTTGGAGTGTGGGAGGCGCCAATATTGCCGCCAAAAGAAATATACAAATATTAAGTTTACTACAGTGGGTGTAGAAAGTATTCGTACAGCGATCAATTTCCAAAAAAACTATGTAAAATTGTAATGTATTAACTTATTTTTTATAAACAATGACATTCTACATATTCTCGGAAATCTCTAGAATAGATGGAGTACAACAAAAAAAAATAGCTATTTATGTAAGTTGCGAAATTAACAAGAAAGAAACTATTAATCGATAGAAATGTTGAAGCAATAGTATTCGGACAACTGTTTAATTTTTAAAACTCCATTAAAAAAAAAGAAATTTACATTAATTTACAAGTATATAATATTTTCTTCGTCGGATTTCCTTTTGATTTTATCATTATTGCAACTCTTCTAAGCGTTAAATTAACTAAATTATTAGTTATTCGAAGTGGGATCTTCTTCAATTTTTAAATCTCTTTAATTCTTCTTCATTTTTAAAAGTACTTTCTTGGAAATTTGATGTTTTCTAATTCGTACGGAGCAATAAACTAATGTGTTTACGTTACAAACTCTACTGTAAATGGTTCATTATAAATAGACTGGGGATCTTTATGCATTTATAGAAAATTTGAATGTGCAGGAATCTACAAAATGCAAACAATATGCATGAATATAAAAAAGATTGAAAATAAAGGTCATATAATATTTTCAGGATAATATAAATTCTTATTTAGGTCCTAAATTTTTATAGGTACATTCGCGAAGATTTCATTTTGCATAAATATCCGCAGTATAGTCATAAGAATCGTACAAATACTTATTGCTTCTATACTTTTACCCACTTTTCGCATTCTTCTGTTAATTTCACAAATTATATAAACTAGGAAATGTTGTTTGGACTATATCTATCTTAGAGATTTCCAAGAATATGTAAAATAACATTGATTATAAAAAAAAGAAGTTAAGAAACTACAATTTTATACAAAAGGTTTTTAGAAAATTGATCAGGGTACGAATAAATTCTACACCCACTGTATATATTTTAATTTAGGATGTAGAAATTTGTACCTGCCGGGGATCAAAATATAGATTGTAATGTTGAAATAAACACGTAAATGTATAAAAATCGACTTGAAACGTAATCAACAGAATAAATCAGTACAATTTTGGAAGCATATAAACTAACGTATCCCGTTGTTTGAAATATTTCGAAGTCACTTTACTCATGCTTTACTCAATGGTTTAATCATAAAATAATTATTTTACTGTAAGAAATGAAACATTGAATCACATCATTCGTTTAGAATTTTATTTCAAAGAAGATTAGTGTCTGGAATTAGAAACTATTTTCTACTATTTTAAAACAATTTTATAATGAAACATCGTAATTGTGACCATAGAGAAATAAATTCCACGCGGTAAGCCACTCGGAATAGACGATCTTTAGTGGTTTGGTTGACGTGCCACTTCGTTACGGTACATGTTGTACCGCCGAGGAACAATTATTCTCGAGCTTCTGGGTCGTCTGGAGAACAAGCCGCCGCGATGGAAAAAACGGTTGGTTGTCCATGTTCAAGTACCAGGCTGCGCCAACAGCATTGGCTAGCCTGTTATGAGACACAATTTTGCTGGTTAAAATTAGCCACGGGGTGCTTGGTGGAGGTGCATATTTCCGCATATACCAGGTTTATTTGCGGTTCGCGCCGGGTACAAGTGCCACGGAGACATCGAACCTCAATCGAGGATCTGAAGTGGCTTTGCCATGGTGTCCCATGGCTCCAAACTCACCTATCTAAGCAATAAACAGGACATACAGTGGGTGTAGAATGTATTCGTACATCGATCAATTTCCAAAAATACTTTTCTGTGAAATTGTACTTTATTAACTCCTTTGTTTTTATAATTAATGATATTCTACATATTCTCGGAAATCTCTAGAATATAGTTCAAACGACAATTACTAGTTTATATAATTTCCGAAATTAACAAGAAAATACGAAAAATTGGTAGAAATATAGAAGCAATAAGTATTCGTATGGTTCTTATGACAGGCAATTTACAGTAGAATTTGTAACATAAGGACATCAGTTTATTGCTTCGTGGGAATTAGAAAACATTAAATTTCCAATAAGAAAGACTTAAAAAATGCTCTAATAAAGGAATGAAAGAAGATCCTACCCCGAATAGCATCGGCAATTTATGATAGTTAACTTAATATCTAGAAGAGTTGCAATAATTATAAAATCAAAAGGAAATCGCACGAAGTATTAATTATTTATAAATTAATGTAAATTTCGTTTTCTTTTTATATGAAATTTTAAAAATTTAACACTTATACGAATACTTATTGCTTCTGTATTTCTATCGATTTATTATTTTTTCTTGTTGATTTCTCACTTATACAAAATACCTAATCTTTTTGTACCGTGTATCTATTCTAGAGATTTCCAAGAATATGTAGAATATCTTTGTTTATAAAATAAAAAGTTAATAAATTACAAATTTCACATAGTTTTTTTGGCAATTGATCGGTGTACGAATACTTTCTACACTTATTGTACATTTTTCAACAACACTGTAATGTTTTTAACATTTTAACATTTTATATTAATTTCTTTTCAAATTTGCGGACTAGTTTCTTTATTCAGTTTCAAGAAATAACGAACACGGATATTTTATCGATCTTTAAATCGCTTTTAGGGGATCGTTGAAGAAAATCAAATGAAAGAGGAAATAAACACTACAAAAATGAAATTT